ATATACATACATGCAGTTAGAGATATAGGCACAGTACTATAGGTATTTCACCCTAAAACAAGGTCTCCTTGGGGTATGCATCGGGTCTCTCCATCCTTTTGCATCACCCACCAGGTGCAACCTGGTCCCTGAGCGCATACAGACTGGAATAAGCATTGTTTAAAATTATCATCTCCAATACATTCTCTACCTGGGACAGAAATTAACTCTGCAGGGCATCATTAGCACAAATAGTGGATAAAGAAATAAAGCAGGATGAGAACATGAACTGCATTTGTCTTCACCATCCCACATAATTTCTTTACAGCCCACTCTTGGGGGAGAAATGGAGATAAAAGCTGTCGCAAATGTTGCTTGTAAACATGATGCCTCTTGGAGAGTGTCCTGCTCCTGGGATGCTGCAGCTGGGTAAAGAATATTCAGGATTAGGTCAAACCCAAGCATTTCCCAGAGGGAAGATATCTATCTGAAGCAGGGCTCTTCCAAACTAGCCATTTTGAAAAGCAGCTAGTGCTAACTCTTCCTTTACTGTTTCCTTACAGCTGCATAGAAAAGAAGTCAAGATTTCTTTCTAATTATTTCCAATATTCAAGCAATTAGAAAAGGAGTATGAAGGTTGTCATTAATAGAATTCATATGTAGAAAGCTAATGAGTGGAGAAAAGCCTTTAGCTCCATCCCATGACTGCTAAATACGTGTTTTGGAGCCAGCCCTTCTAATGAGGTGAAGATTAGAAAGCAAGTATCTTGAAGAGGCATCATGTGCTTTGACAGAGAGCAGAGAGACTAAGCAGAGGTCTCTCACCAGAGAGATGAGCTGAAGTCCCTAAGCTCTTGGCAAGATATGAGCATGGCATGTTCGGATCTTACTGGGTGTTTACAGTGATGTACGATATTAAGCAAGAGAGTTTATTTCAGCTTCTCATTCCAAGCCAAAAGGTACCTGCAATCCATTCTCCCTGCCCTTTGAAATCTCTTGGTGCAGAGCTGTTGACCATTTTGAGCAGTAGCCTGCCTGATTTTGTGAGTGCTGTTTTGCAAGCCCTATGAAAAAAACTTCTCCTTCCCTGGTAAGAGGCCAGGGTGTGCACTGCAAGCACTAGATATGTAGGAAGAAAACTTACGCTGTCATCTCTTCAACTTGCCAGGCAAAACCTCCTCCGAAGTATAAACAAAGCTTAAAAGTTCAGTTTACTTGTGGCTCATATTCTTTATGCACTTCACTGTGAACCTGTTACCTTTCTTATCCTGTGTTTATTCATAATTTCTCATTTTCTCCTTTCCTCACATAGTTTAAGCTGACTTTCTGATGTAGACAGTGGCTATCCCTTTTTGTCACTGGGGTAGAATGACTGAAAATTATCAATCACATCCATGAATTGTCCAACTCTCTTCCCACAGCATGGCTGTGGTTCAGTGCCAAAGACTTTCTTGTGAATAGAAAGTTGTGACTTGTAGGAATGTTAGTTTAGTACTTCCTAAATTACATTCTGGTTGGCAACAGAAAAAAACAGACTCTTATACACACAATTGTTTCTTTTTCCATTGATATGTACAAAGTGTCTCTCCACGTCTAAAGGCAGCTTCTTTTAGTTAAAAATAATTCCCACTTGACCTATCACTATCTGCCTGTGTGAAAAGTCACCCTCTCTCTTTTTTATAAACCTACTCTAGGTATTAAAAGCATGAGACAAATTCAGCACCCAACCCTTCTGCTCTAACTCAAGGATGTGGTATTTCCAGCTTAAATGGTTGGATTTGATGATATAAAAGGTCTTTTCCAACCTCAATGATTCTCTGGTTGTCTGGGCTTAATTCTGTTTTTCTGAAGCTCTCTGACACTGGCTGATCCTCTGGATCAATAGCACAGCCAGCCAGCTGCAGCCCCAGGCCTCCTCTCTCTGGTGTTCACACTTCCCAGCTGGCACTGGCACAGAGAGCTAAATATGTGATTTTGTCCTGGCAGAGGCTCCCACACACCAGGCATTTGGCTGAGAGCCCCTGTCAGTGCATCTGCTGATATGGGAGCAGGGGGAAGAGCATTGGGCTCGTGACAGCTCACCCACCTCAAACAGAGAGGAACTGGGGTGTGCAGAAGAGGTGGGTGCTGGTATAATTAAGTTTATGTAGCCCTTTTCCACTGAAGACTTTCAAAGATGTCCAGATGAGCTTTTTCACAGAGAAAAGTAGTTAAGGTACCAGTTTGAGCTCTCTCAGGAGATGCTGATCACCTTGTGGGATGCAGCCCTAAACCTGTAAGCGGGAAAGCGAGATAAGGAGCTGCCCTGCAGAGCTATTCCCAACTATCCCCATTCTCACTCCACGGCCCCTTCCTGTGCTTGCTTGTTTGCAGGAATTGCTGGCCTGCTGTTGAGAAATGCAGCTTCGCCCTGGCTCCCAGCGCGGCCGTGAAAGGAGCGGGGCATCCACATCCACCCACGCATTCAGCCGGGGACAGGAGCTTCCCCTGGCACCTGCTGAGTGCCACAAAGGGCACGGAGCTCGGCAGGGGACACGAGCTCAGCCTCCCTCCCTCCCTCAGCCAGGGCAAAGTGAACAAAAGCGGGGTCTCCCCTCTCCTCAGTACCAATGTCAGGGCCAAGGAGGAGGCAGTGAGTCTCCACTGTCACCCCTCTCCCACTCTTTGGTCCCTCTCAGCTATGCTATGTGGGCAGTCCTAACATCTGCCAGGGCAGTTTTGCACTGGGACTTCAGATAAATTCACTCACTGCCACAACACATGGCTGTAATCCACTTGCCTTTTACATATTTGGGTCCCTGTATTCAGAGATGTTAAGAAACTCTAGTTTTTAAATTCCTAAACACGTTTGAAGTGCTGGCCTCCAGTTTAGGAGCTTGCAACCGTATTGGAAGGGCAAACTACCAAGCGAAATTCCAGTCAGCCTCATACACTTAATTTCTCTACGCTTCCTCAGCATCTAGCAAGGAAAGAGGCCCTTTCTGACATCTTTCAGATTTGCTAAATTAGCCCTCTCGTCTGAATCACCTTCTGAATGGACTTGTCATGCTCCGTTGACTACAGAGGGAGCTTAAGGACAGCCTCTGAGATTAACCTCCGATCCCACACACTGGGGTGGTGGAAGCTTAGCACTGACAAACTGCATGAAAACCTCTGAATCAAATGTATTAACTGAGAGTGTATCACTAAACTACAGCATAAATCATAATAATGGTTGTTACATAATTGTTGTAATTGCTGCTAATAACAACAGCAAATAAAATATATATCTGGTTCTAAGATTAGACTGTTTTTTATCTCCCTTGATCAAGTCTCTAGAGACCTGTAGCATAAATGCTACAAAGTAGGAAGGTGGCTGCCTTTTCCATTGCCTTTTTCTTACTATGTTGTACCAGTTTACTGTGACCCTTATATGAAAGGTTGCAGAAAATTGATTGGCCTTGTTTCTTTGCATGTGAGCAGAGAGCAGTAGCTTATTTAGGGAGCTTTCCTGATAAGACAGCAAGTAGCAGATGTGATAACCCAGGCCCAATTCAAATTCAGCTACTTACAAAACAGTCTTTATCTGAGGGCGTGTGCGTTTTATCTCTGAGACACTCAGTTATACAGGGGGTGTGATGGACCCCTGTCAGCAAAGGAGGACAGCAGCAAAGAACAAACCTGGCACTTAATTCCCAGCTAAGGATAAATGGAGACCTGGTCTTGCCACCCCTTTTGGCACTGGGAAGTGTCCTGTTGAGTCAGTAGCACTACATGCACAGCACTCATGTAAATTGTTACAGGACTGAGATATTACATATTTTAGGATCTTTGAGCATTATATCATAAGCCTCAACACATTTTTCCATGCTGAAAATGGGCCAGTTCACATTTGGAGTATATCCAAAATCAAGTCCTGAATTCAACATAAATCTTTTTAGTACACTTTGTCAGATATACTATATATATATATGACCTATATATTTTTATATGTCAGATATACTTGGCTTACCTTGCAGCCAGTTTCAGCAACCACCCAGGCAAACCTATATTTGGGACAGGATTCTTCAGGGCCCCTTTCTTGTGCCTTTTTCTAATACACATGCCCAATTTTTTGTTGTTTTGATCTTTACATCAGGGATTCTATTCTCACCTTTCAAAATCACTTCTCCCAGAATTTCTTCCCGTATCTTTTAGCTCCACAGAAGTTTAAGGACTATTTACAGCAGAGACTTCATGCAATTGCACACATCATGGACAGGTTTCTTCTCAGGTAATCACTTAAACTCTGGGTCAGCACTGTGAGGCCTAAGCCCAAGGAGAAAGTGGAAGAAAGGAAGAAAGCAAGCAAGGAAGAAATGAAAAGACAGGAAGGAGAAAACGATAATAGGGATAATATTGCCTCATGTTACATCTCTTTGGTTACTACCTCTGCCATAAATGCTTTGAGGAGAAATTGGAAGCAGGTCTTCACCCTTCCAGGTGGAGATTCCTGTTGCATGGAGCACATCCCCAGGCAGCCACTTCATTCTACTGACCCCACTGTGGACCCTGGAGCAGCATCCCCTGCACTTGACCAAGGTTGAACATCTAGATCCCATGAGCAGACACACACACACACACATTAAAGTCACTGCTAAAGTAAAACAGCTGAGCATGACAGTGCTGGGAATAAGGGTTTACTACTGTTTACCTGAAAATGCAATTTTTTAAAAAACCAAACCCTTCATTTGTAATCCATCATTGTGTCACTATCACACAGGTTGAAATAACTCTATGCTGAAACAAGCTGCTTAAAAGAACTGAAAAGTGTCAGGAAATTGAGACAGACAGCCTTTAGTGGGCACAAACCAAAGAAATGTTTCCTGCTAGATTCACTTTTTGGCAGACCTCTTTCTACAGACTAAAACTTTTTCTGAATTTACAAATCTGTTTGTGTGACAAGCAACACCTACAGACGACAAAAATTAGTGCAATAAAGAGATACCATTAGGTACTTAGAATTAATTTAAGAAACTCCAGAAACAGTTTCCACAACCAAATGACGACACCACGTGTCTGTGTATTAGTTTATTTAATTCTTTATAGCCACTAAGAGCAAGAAAATTATGCTGATACAATTGGTAAACATATACATTCGCTAGAGCCCCCACCAAATCCCACAGAGCTAAGGGAAACATTAAGAGACGTTACAGGATTAATGTTTTTGTTCTACAATATGCATATATGGCTTTCATACAAGTTTTAAAAAATTGAAAAGGTAACACACTGCTAGCTTACAAAATCAATATACAAACTGGAAAAAAAAGGAAAAGGAACAGGAAAAGAAAGTAATCCATAAGAAGATATATAGCACTGGTTTAATAGATATATACAGAATTAGAAATCCATTGAACATGATATTCAGGCTTTGTTATTTTGACTTTCATTTCACCACTCAAACTACAAGAATTAATACAGTTTCTCTCTTTTGTTTTTTCATCTTACTTTACCCAATTTACTCACTTTTTATTGGCAGAGAAAAAGACTTTTCCTGCCCATGTTTCTATGTTCACACCTAACTGAAGCAGTTTGTCCACTTTAAATAGAGCCCTTGCGTGTACTCACTCTGACAGAAGAGAACATCACTATGATAGTAAGTCCTTTTGGCTATTACATTGGCATGTGGTTTGCAATTCCCTTGGACACAGCCATTCTTAAACTGAAGTGCTGGCAAGTAGGAAGAAATCTAGCTCTTCATTCTACTTGTGTACCCTCACTTAAATAACAGCACAGGATAAAAAGCTCTTTCATTTCAACCACAGCCTGAAAATATGGCAGCACTGGTTGTGATTCACATTTAGAGTTATGCATGCACCTTTACAGAGTTTTGCTCCCCCATGTATGAATGTATATATAAATATGCAGTATGCATGTGTGTGGATTTAGAGAACTGCTGTGTCTGATGCTAACATCTGCATTAGGTGGATTCTAGCTCCAAGCTGCAGCCTGTCTCTGCTTCAGACCACCTCAGCAACCACAACACACTCTGGACTATCACAGCCATCTCCTTCAGCTGTAAAAGTCTAGATGAACTACATAATTGTAATATGGGGAATGAGAAGAATGACCTAATGAGAAAAGTTAAATAATGTCTTGTTGTCAGGTAGATTAGAGCAATGGAGTTTGAACAGAAAAATTAATTGAATTAAATTGGCTGTGGGTAAAAGAACCCTGCAGAGGCCACCCATTTTCCTAGCTTTCCATCACTGAATTCAGGGTTAAAGGTTTTGTACAGTCTTTAACTTTCAATGACTTCTGAAATGGGAATACTTGTGAGCCTCTGTTTTTAGCTCAGCAATAAATCCACTCATTGGATATGTATTCAGTTTTGTTGTGGGTTTTATTTGTTATCATAGGTTTTTTAAGAAAAGGGTCAAATCTGTAGGTGCAGCTTTTACACACATCACTCACTCAAAGCCAAGAGGTTTAAAGGCTAGGAGATACTTACAGAGTTCTTTAGCCATTTGGGACTCCAAGACACTCAATTTTAAATAGCAAACTACAGAAAGGACTAAAGGATTGTACAACCCCAGCAATAAGATAATACTAGCTGATATAGTTGAATTCTCCTGTTTTCCCAGATTTTTGCTCAGTTCAGAGTGATGAGGCCACAAGATAGATGGCCCTTTTTGAAGAGTGGCAGAAGGGGGCCATTAGGAAAATTATTAGATCTCAGCATTGTTTAGTTTTGGTCCAAAAGCAAAGTTTGATTCTGCTGTGAATGAGATTGCCTACATCTTCTCCAAATGCAAACACCCATGGGTGGAATAGGCTCTCTCCATGCTCTACACCTGTTCAGGCAAATCTTTCACTATACCTGAAACTCTATGCACCATCATAATTTGATGATAAAAGAGGACAGTGGTAAAGGATACAGCTTCTTGCCACTACTTTTCTAATTAAGGTAGTTTTCTGTTTTCTGTGGTTTTTTGCTTGAAGGCAGACACTGCTGCATCAATGTCTCTAATTTCTGAGATATTAATTTGATCATTTCTGTCCCCTGGGAAGCAATGACAAGGTAGAGTTATGAGGAAAGTTTTACCAGCAATTCATCCTCCCAGCTAATTCAGGGACGCTTTGCTCATTATCATACTTCCTTGTTCATTGTCATACAGTGACTAACAAGTTGCTACTGTGTCTTTTAATTTCAGAAGGACACAGTCGGAGGAACTTGATGGTATGGGCTTCCTGGGCTGTTTTGAAACAATCCAGGAAGAAATGGAGAATATAGTCTCAAGGATGAGGAAAGATCAACAACATCCACAGAAGTCCAACCAAGAAGTAGAGTGCCTTAACAGAATTGACAGAAAACCTATGAATGTTATCAAAATTATGGATAAGTGTGGGAAGGCAGGCAACAGGTATAATTTGTCTCTGCAAAGGACAGAACTCAATCTCAACTTCAGAGAAGTGCAGTCCTAGAGAATTAAAATTGATTGAATACAAGATACCTACCTCCACTGATATACTGCTTCCTCTTCTTAGTAGGATTTGGGAGACATGAAAGACTACTGTGCGATATCAAAATGGTGCCCACCTCACCAATATATTGCCTTAGAAAAGTGGTGAGTTTACATTGTTAATGCTTCTGCAGTTCCTAGACTTGGCAAATCAGGATGTTGTCGCACCCCCAACATTGACATTAGCCTGTATGCTATTGTCTTCTTTTGACTTTGCCTCCACTTGAACACTTTCTTTTGAGGCTGGAGTGGGACTTCACCTCTCTGCAACACTTTACGTTTGATTAGTTTTCATCAAGGCACAAATCAGGGAAAGCATAAAAACAAATGTGCCAACCACTAGTTCTGCCTTCCACACATAAGGAGCATGCAATAGAAATTTGTATAAAATGCTCCTGACTTCCTATCTGTCTCTTCTTGACCAACTCTCCAAAGCTGCCTGCTTATATATAATTGTTATTCTTTTATTTCTTCTAATTTTCTCCTTTGAAAAACAGTTCAGCCCAGAATGTCATTATGGAATTAGAAGATGAAAATCAGTAAATTACAATTTAGTATCTACCTGCATGTACAACAAACCCTTTACCTTCCTGGAGCTTTGCCCAGAAGTTTTGCTGCACTTAACAGACTGTTAAATAGGCCAGGCTGATAAGCAATGACTCTCATTCACTATGGGAATTTCTATCAGAAGACATGTCTAAGTCAGAAAATGTCCCAGTCTTGAAATACTGTTTTAAATCAAGATATAGACAGGCCCAACTGAAAGAAGCATTGCCTGTCCTTAGAGAAAGGGAAGGGAGATATACCCAAATATATTCAGGTTTAAACTCACTGGAATCCAGAGTCTGGATGTAGATTCATCCTTAGCTGATGTTCAGCAACTCATCCTCTCTTTTCTAAGAAATTTGAGTGCTCAGGAAAAGGCCGTCATTTGGGGGATTTTTATCACCTCCCCATACTCTATTACAGCTGTAGCAAATGAAGATGTAAACCACTCCTCGAGAGGGACATTGATGAAACAAATCTCTGTCAGTTAAACTAGGTAAGCAATACAGCTATGCTAAGTCATTTTTCATTGTAATAGGATAGCACCAAGAGGGTAAACATGCTTTTCATCTGAACTAGCTGCTCCCACAGCACTGTCAGAAAAGCTTGCCCTCCCAAAGCAGGGAGGGTAGAAGATTAGAAAGCAAATAAGGAGAAGTTTTGGAATGACTGAAGTAGAAACTGATCAAGATGGGTAGGAAGAGGTTTTGTTCAGAATCTTGCTTTTGCTTTCTTCTTAATGTCACTAGTGACACAAGGGCTCCTTTTAGGTACCAGGAGCCTCCTTTTAGAGCTGACCTGACTGACCTATTCAATCTTCTTTGTGTCCTGCCATAAATTACTTAATCACCTCCTGCATAGCTAGACTTTCCACTGAATGTTTTCTTCTGGCTTATTAGAAATTTTCTTCATTTTACGTTTATAAACTATTACTCCAATTGCTGTCAACAACAAGATGCCAATATAGATCTGGACTTATGTGGCTGAGTAGTACATAAGAAATATTCTCCTATTTCACACCCTTTGCTGAATTTTTTTCTGGTCCCAACATGATATCTTTTGTTTTGTTTCCTTGTTTTCTGTAAGCTATCTCCATGAAGGCCCTATGCCACCATAGGAACTTGACTGGCTTCCTTCAAAAACTATTAGGAATGTTCCTTTAACAAGCCACATGGGCAGTTTAACAAAAGGACCATAAGGTGTCACAGGGGAATTTATTTTCTTTATACTCACAGAGGTGGAAATAAGAAGTCACATCTAAGGTTTGCTAAAGGACAGAGTGTTGGTCTCAACATCATTCCCAATTCCTGCCAGCTCCCTGTGAAACATGGACTAGATTAACCAGTGTGAGACAATGGTGCAACAGTGTTTAAACTCAAAGCTGAGCCACTTTAAGTGAACTGATGCAGCATTTAGACAGACAAACCTTTGGTGAGTGAAAAAAAGTTTCCTTCTCCCTTTGCTTTCAACCAGACCTACCAAACCATTAGTTTAAGTCTGAGGCGCAAGCACAGGTAGACCTGATTAGACCATGAACAAACCAAATAGCACCCAGAACGACCTAAATATGAGCCTTTATGATTTTAGATTTGGTCACTGCACATCCACCATGTGTGGGGAACATTTTTAACTATACCACAGATTCAGGTATGTCTAACAGCACAGTTAAAATAGCAAGGACATCAACAGAGACTGAAAAACACACCCTAGAAGTCTGGAAATAATTGTGAGGTTAGTCTACCTTAAGCTATGTGCAGCCTTGGCTAGCAGGCTTCAGGATTGTTTGGGAACAGAAGGACTTGCCTCACCGTGAGTCCAGATCAGCCATTCCCTCCATGTGAGAAAAAAGAGGACAAGCTCTACAATTGTTACAATTTTCTTTGCATAGAAAAGAGAAGTGATGTTAGTATGAAAAAAAGTCTCTGCTTGTCTGTAAGCTAATCCCAAGAGAGAAATGTGATTTATTCAGATGAACACAGCCTGCTGCAGCTTCACTGAAGTCAGTGGGTACCATGCAGGAGTACAAGGGAGACTATTCCTCTTGACCAGCAGGCAAGCCTGCGGCCTACACAAACGCCAAAGCTTGTTTCTTGCTGTTGAATTTCAACGTTTAGAATTACAAAGCAATGATTCTGAACTTAATTTGGGCATTGAAATCCCTTATGTTTCCTCTAAAAATTTTGGTATGCTTGTTGTCAGTTTGTTAAACAATCCTTTACCTTGAGACAGACCAGCCATTTGTCAGATCTTTCTTCTACTTTGTGACTTCTCTCAGGATTCAGAATCACTTAAATTAAGTAAAACTGAACAAACTGAAAAACAGCTGGTTGTAATTTTTCTTTTTTTTTTCCCCTGCAGACTATATCTTAAAAAAATCACAACTAATTTTACGTTGGCTGAGCTTTTTACAAGGTGTTTTTGCTTATATAAAAATGGAAAAAAGCAAAAGATACTGGTTTTACTGGTTTTTCTCTTCTGTTTTACTAAAAGATAAACCAAAAATAATTTCATTCCTATTGGTTTCAGGTCTTACAAATTGTCCGTTTTTTGATAAAAAATATGAACTACTTCTGGTGGCTTCCAAACAGATTTCTCCTTTTATTTCCCACCAGCTATAATTAAGATCAACAAGAATATTTCCACTGATACAAAAGGGAGCTGGGTCAGACAGAATCACAGCAATTTCAACTAGATCTTTTATGAAAAGGATTTTCTCCATTCTGCCAAAATGAACAAAAAAATGTGCAGCATTTTTCAACTTTTATAGTGAAATTGAGGACACTACCATCCACCAACACTGATATGCTGAAAAGTGGAAAGTTTTGCCATCATTCTACTTTGAAAAATCGTTGCTAGAAAATCATGAAAAATTAGGACTCTTTTATGTCCAATTGTTGAAAGATTTTAGATTTACCGCCAACATTCAAAATATGGTTAAGGAAAGGAGTGTTACTGTTTTTTACCTGTAGGTAGTGACGTTTTGGAATGAACATTAAGCACACATCCAAGAAAATCCCATACTTGTAAATATTCAACAAAATGCCCCCATCCTTTCCTTAAACAAAAAAAATTCATACAGTTATGTAATCAGAAATTAAGAGATAGGCCTCAATTTTTCAGACTTAAGGTCCCAATCTTAAACATAAATGCATCCAGCCGGAGTGTTATGTTCACATAGGGTACCACTGGTTTCAGCAGAGCTCCACACAGATTCAGGTTCTGCTTGCATGGACTAATTACCTGATTGAGACCTATGGCAAGACTTGAGAAAAAAAAAATTAAAAACCTCTACATTGTTCAATATACAATAGAAATAATTTTCTAAATTAGTTAGGAGTTCTTAATTACAGGCCTCTAAAAATTGTTGTTAGGGTTATACATTAAAAATACTAAAGTAATAAAAAATTGATTTTTTTCTGTGTTTTTTTCCTTCTATGGTATCATTAGCTATTAATTTTAGGATAAAATGCCTAGGTATAAATGAAACTGTTAACTGATCATGTTTGGTGATGTCCCTTTCTCATATTGCCCAAATTGACTCCATTAATCCAGCATCTTCTCTTGCTTCTTGCCTTCCTTTTTCTTCTTCTTGGATTCTGTCAAGATATAACAAAAACAGTAAAAAATTAGTGTCCAGAAGGCATTGCAATAAGTTTCATTTAACACCCGTGGAAGTTCCCCTTTCTTTTTCCCTCGCATACAAATTGTTTCCTCATTTTGAACAAAGAAAGGGAAAAGAGAAGGAAAAGAAGAAAAATAACAGGAGAGGCTGAGGCAGTAGAGAAGATGGAGAGGGAGCTGCATGTTCTGTTCAGAACCCTCCCTATCTGAGGGGCTGACCCTGTTTGGCATGCAAAGCATTGTCTCAGGAACTTGCTTGGAAAATAAGAAAACAGCAGGCATCTCCTGGAGAAAACGGGTCATGGCTCAGTGGAGAGCTGGAAGAAAGTGTTGCACACGCTACCCACACATATACCCTTCTCCTGCTTCCTTTCTGTCTCATCGTAAGCCTTTGGCTTTCTCTGAATGTGCAAGCAGCTCCAGAGCATGGGGAGAAAGCTCTCTTGTTTCTCCAGCTCCTCCACTGCCAACCCTTCCCCCTTCCCTAGGGACAAACACCTATGATATGCACTTGGGAGGCAATGGGAGCTTGGCCTGGGGTTAGAGAAGCACAGCCTGTCCAGCTAGCTGAGACTGATGGGATGAGCAAAAGACTAAGAAGCACCTGCTTCTCTAGTTAATTTGGGGTAAATAAAGGAACGATAAGAAGGTACAAGTGCAAATTTGTATATTGTACCAGCACCTGCAGTAACTCTCACTGTACTCTAGGGTAGCATAGTATTCAACAGGTAAAGGAAATTCACAGAGGGACCATCGAAATTAAAACAAATTAAGAGGATGAGGCACTTTTGTGTCACATGTCACCTTGTAACGGGGAAAATAACAGCTCTCACTGGGAACATGAGTAAATCCTTATTGACACCAGCACAAAACAGCACAACAGGTACCACAGAGAGATGGAAACAGAGCTTCTGTGAAGCATCTTTCCTGGACCCAAAACAGCAAGCAAGCTGACCCATGTTTGTCTTAACCCAGATTTAATTAAACCAATCCATCAAAACTATCATAGAATCATAGAATATGCTGAGTTAGAAGGGATCCAGAAGGGTCATTGATTCCAACTCCTGGCCCTGCAGAGGACCACCCGAAAAATCACACCATGTTGCCTGAGAGGGCTATCCTAGCACTCCTTGAACTCTGCCAATCTTGTTGCCATAAACACCACCCCTGGTTAAATAACAAAAATCACCTTGAATGAGAAGACAAGCACTTGGTCCTTAAAGTGGGACTGTTATTTGTGAATATGATTCCTTTCACAGAATCACCAGTTGTGGAAAAAAAACCTTATTTCTATTAAAGCCAAGGCAACTACACCAACATTTTTCAGGTATGGATAGGGCCAGGTACTTCCAGCAGAAGGCAAACTTAGGCTATCACATTTCTCTGATGGTTGTTTTTCCTCTTTCCTAGTCTCTTTTCTTTCAAACCAACATTTTTTCTTCATCAGTTATAACACAAAAAATTGTTTCAAATAATCCTTTAGTCAAAGCAAAATAAAATACTTGTTTAGTTACATAATCTCCTCTAAAATATCCTTCCCTTAAAAACTTTGCTTAACTTTTAAAGGGATAATAATTTAAAAGAAGACATATTTGTTTTCAGTTGAAAAATAATTCTCCCCCCCCCCTTTTTGCATGTGTCTGTGCTTGCATGTGTATCTGAATGTCTGTAGTCTGGAGCTATTCACAAAATCTGACACTATTTCATAACCTGTCATTTGAAAAAGTAATCTTTCATTGAATTAGTATCTAATTTGCTTTCAGCAATTGCTTCCCCCCTCTGCAAATTTCCTGTATCCCCCCCTCAACCTCTTTTACCCATATTCTCCACTTCCTCTAATTTTGCCTCTCTATAAGATTGACCCGCCTGGATTCTGTATTGATTGCACTCTCCCTCACACTTTTTATTCCCCAAACAATGCACACATAAATTGGTGTGTTGGCCAGGAAATCTCAAATTGGTGTACCAAAACCACTACCCCAAATTGGTGTTTCTGCCCAGTTGAACCGAAACCCTGACATCCTGAAAAAAACAGTGGCATTTCATCAGACTGGCACTGGAATCTGCAAAATTTATTTAGACCCAGCACAAGCAGCAGGGCACTATGCAGACTTCAACCAGATTTGCTAAGAGCAAAGAAGACATATAAATGCAGGCAGACTGCTAACAGGACTCTGCTGAAGAGTTTATGCAGCTTATGGTAGGAATGAGGTCAGCACCAGGAGAAGACTTTGGTCTGGAGTCATGTGAATGTACCAGGTCACCATCCTCACTTGACTTGAGGCAACCCACTGTTTACCCATTTGTACTTAATGCCTATGGGTCCACATCTCTTCCTTTCCTAATTCTTCCCTTTTGTCTACCTTGTGGTAATTTACACATCATCCAAACTGCCAAATCCATCTACCTGCAAAGACAAGTGACTCTGCTTTGGGTATCAGCAGAGTAAAACTTTCATGTGCCAGATGGAATTCCTCCATCATTAAAAGCACTCACACCACCACAACTTCATCTTTCAGACAGGTAATCTGGAATGATGCACAGCATACTTGCTCCATGAAATGACATGCATACACACAATTCTGGGAGTACTAAAAAAAAATATATATTTTATTTTTTTAAAGAGAAAACTTATCAAATATTTCCCAGCCCTTAGGCTCTTTTAAAATTCCTACCACAGACACCAATACCCATGTGCTGACCCACGAAAATGCTGATATTTAATTATCTAATCCTTCATCACCAGAATAACCCTACAAATTGTCACAAGACTTAAAATTATTCACAGGATTAAAAACTGGTCATGGGTAAGCACTGGACTCACTTTCTGTGGGCTCAAGATGACCAGTAACAAAAATTACAGTCAAGGTCTTAGCGAGTAAACAAGTTAATTTGATTAGCAGAACTTTCTCTATGCAATTTGAAATTGCAGCAGTCTTCTTTAAACAGTCATCTTTATTCCAGAACTTCATTCTTACTATGCAAGCAGCAAGTGAAAGTAATTCAGTTGAACAGGAGCCACACACCGTTTGAAGCCACTCCTAATGTATAAGGCACAAAAGGGAGGTAATTACATTTTAATGGAAGTCAAGCTTTGTAAGCCAAGATTTTAATTTTTGTTTGTTGAAAAGAAGGTAACAATTCACTCACGGCACTGCTGAACTCCTGTGTATAAAAGTCAAGCAGTAGCCCCAAAAGAAATATAGATAACTCAAAATAGTAAAAGCTCTGACTTTAATGCAAGGTTAGAGTACAAAGTTCCTCACCAGATGTTCAGGATACAATTTTCGAGGGCCTAGCACTCACTCAGTATTACTAAGCTCAGAGGAAGGCACATTTTAGAAAGTCCTCTCAGCTTCTAAATTTTCCAAAGCACCATGTTGCTATGGTAGTGAAGGGCAATGGTGCCATGAGGTACAGGGAGCTTCTGAATTTTGGGGATGAAACTCCAGTCCCTGTGGAATGGAGAAGTCTTAACTTTGGTATAATCAAGAATTTTATATCTTTGGGGAAAAAAAAAGCTCACCTTCGAGAGATTCACACTCCTGTCTAGAACAGAAACTATATTATCTTGTGATTTCCATGACTGTAAAAACAAATACCTGGATTTCTGAAAATCCTTTAAACATAGTATTTCTTTTTCTTGTAGAGGAAGACAACTTTTCATGGTTCTCTAAATCCTCGTCTTCCTTTTTTTCTGTACCATATACAACATTTTGCATTCCAAATGGTTTAAGAAGGAAAAATTGTATTATGATAGCAACTTTGCTCCCTAATGAATTCTTCTGAAAAGTCTCTTTGAGAAACACAGTTCTATTGGATGGAGGAAAAAGCAATAATCCACCAGCTGAACAGCAGTAGAAGGCACTTTTCCAATCAGTCAATGACCCTGATGTAGTCCTGTGCTCCTTAGCAGCATTCTTCATTTAGCCATGTTCCTCAATTTCTTCACACTTATGTTCACTCCTCCTCATCAGGTTTTGTTCTGCTTCTCACTTTGCTAAAGTTTTGTTTTGGATAGATTTTGATTTGTTCCCAGTTGAACACAAGAGGGACCTGATTTAGACCTAAAGGCTGCAGCTGCCCCATTTAAGTCAGAAAGTCATGCTGCAAAGTGTGTTAGGAACGGGGAATAGACAGATTTATACTTGTAACAAACACTAACATATCTGACAAAGGAATGGAACCAAGTCATCACTCACAGAAAATGTATCAATAATTTTTCTTTCTCATTGGAATTGCAAGAAGAAATAAATGTAGGGGGGAAATAATCCAATTGGTTCTAAAATGAGCCATAAAACTCTGAAATTATCTTAGTCAGAAGGCATTTCTTGAACCTGACATACTGATGAAAGACTTTTAAACCCTTTCCTTTAACATCCTTACTTGAACTAGTCAGGAATTATAGGGAGCTTTTATTTAAGAGATAATTTGCTGAAACCAAGGATTTTCATCAGAAAGGTTTCCCTTTGATGATTTTCTTCCTTCAAATATTTGGGAGAAAAAGTTTCAAAATTGCCTATGCACAGGCACTCAAAAGACCAGACACTCACAGTTTCTGACTTTGCTAGACGGCCTAATAGCATGAAGTTAAAGAGCATGAAAGTTTCATCTCATTTTCTTTACATCTATGTTAGCCCTTAAGATGTTAGATCTTAAAAGTATTCAGAAGATTAAAATGGATAAACTTTTCAAACCAAGGCTGTTTTGCAACTGGAGCCTGCTAGAGGGGTCTGGCTAACAATTCAGAAGTAATTCACTTTGCTCTTCAGTTGGCTTTTCACCTGCCTCAGGTGCATTTGCATTGCTGCTTCTGTAGGGTAGGAAATGTCTCACTGTTCTTCATCATGTTCTGTGCTCAGCACAAGAGGGACACAGTCCCAGCTGGCTCTTCAGCTCCCTCTCTGTCTATGCTGTACACAAGATCCCTATTAATGCCAGCAAGACAGGTGCAGGCACAGACTGATACATTCAG